TCAGCCGGTCTCACTGGCCTCCTAGATGCTAAAAGTTGGGGATAAAATCTCGCGTTTCTGACATTTTTTCACTTTAAAATAAGTTTTTACAGTCTGCAGGTCGTAACGAAATTCACACGCACGGAGCTTAATTTATTTAGAACGCCACCTTCTAATCTAAATAAATGAAACTTACGCCATTTAGAAGGGATAGATCGAAATGAGTTTTTGTCATAAGAAACTATCTAGTGCTTTACATATTTTGATGCAACAACATCAAAACGGGCTTTGGGTGCCGAACGCCGTTATTGCTCCCAATGCTTCAATTTCTAGCAATTCTGTTTTGTGCCTACTCAACAGTTCACATTAACAGGATTTTTTATTGATACAAAGTGAATGGGCGAACATGGCGCCTGGTGGTGAGCGAGATGCATGCCCATAGCATTTGAGCTTCAAATCACAAAGATGTGAGGGGCAATGCCGCCATGAGACATAAGTTCACAAGTCCCCTGTGCCTGTAACTGCACCTGGTTTACCCTTCAAAACTGGGACACAATAATGCTAATGACATAGGTAAGATAGCAGTACTTCTCTGGCCGAACTTTCACAAGCTTTACTGCTACTAGGGTTACTAAGTTTACAAATTTAGACGACGATTACGACGATGACGACCGATTTTTTACACTCAAAGTCAAAGTATCACTTATTCCATGCATAGGTAAAATGAATTTACACTTGAATACGTCACATTTAAACTACTGCTCGTTCACAACGCTGACTTCCCTGAGAAGAACGAGCAAGAAACTCTAGGGATTTCTCTTTTCAAATAAACTTAAACGCTATGGAATACACTTTGAATCAAATTTGTGTGAATTCTGAAACCATGCCGTCTTTCCATACATCTTTATCTAACACGTAGTCTTCAATTTTGTAATGTGACTTTTCAATCAAAATATTTTTAATGTAGTTTTTAACTTAGGAAATGATAATCTTAATATATGCTCCGGAATCTTAATGTAAAATTGTTTGATACGTTATAAAATTGTCATCAATTTTCTGGGAAATATAAATACATGCCATAAAAAAACATAAATCGTTCCCCTTTTACCCTTATTTCTACCTTTTTCAATAAAGACTCAATAAGCTTTTCTATGACAAACCCTTAAGTAATAGGTATTAAAAACAGGTTCATGAACAAACCAATTTGCGGATGTTTGCGTTTGTTTTTAGACCAAAAACCGTTATAACAAGAAATACGGGCAAAATCTAATAAATTCCTCCGTGTTTCTTGACATCATTAGGCCAATGTGGTACTTATATAATACTGCGCAATCTTCCATTTGGTTATGGGTCGCTTATTTAGAAATTTGTAAAAGAGGATAAAAGGTGACTTCATTTAAAGCACTTGGAGCCAATATTATTAATAGAGATAGGAATAAATACAATGTTATTTATTTAAACGTCGAGGTTTTTCCTTTGGACTCGAACCAGTGTCTGTTGCCATGACGCGGTCATCACTTTTACCAACTTTTCTTATGATACCAAGTGACAGGACGAACAAGTCTGTCCATAACAGTTGCAGTGCCACTCAGTGCTTTAAATCACAAAGATCTGAGGGCCACTGCCACTGCGCCCGTTACTCTGAGACATAAGTTGATAAGTTCGATGTGCCCGTAATTTCGCCAGCACTTTTACCCTTCAAAATCGTAATGCTGTAATGTGAGCATTATGTCTAGCTTTACACACACGCGCAATTTTAAGCAGCGGTACAAAGGCGATGCAATCGCGCGACTGCATCGATACAAACGCGCGATTGCATCGTTACACTTGGGAGTTATAGGCGTTTGCATTAATTAGAATAAATAGCAACGAGATTATTCATTGAAATCAAGAAGTGTTAGGTATTCATTAAAATTTTATTTTAGAAATTCGGTAACTTTTAAACCCGATTAAAAGTTAGAGGTAATAAATCTCGTGGTTAGCTTTTGAGGTGTTTAAATTGTAATTTTCATTGGAATTTCAATTGTTATTTGTGATAGAACGAAAATTATATATACGCGCTTAACTTACGAGATTATATGGATGAGAAAAATAATTATTCGGTTCTATGCATATGTATTTTCAAGCTACTTCAGAAGAGCGGATACATTTATGGATTGATTCGGAACAGTCCGTATGCGCTTTATAATTGTAGGCACTAGTTTAGTAGATCCCTAACCGCTCACACGATACATGCAGCCGCAGACGCATACCGCACCTAGGGGAGCCGGTGATGATTTTATAACGATTTATCGGATATTGAAGTTATAACTGGTTAAATAATTAATATTAATTGCTATTTCGGTAACTACTCTAGCAAACCATAAAGTTATTAATGCCTGGGTCTGTCATTTAAAAAAAATAAACAACTTCAAAAATACGTTACGACAATCGTGTGTGTTATTGTTTGGGCTGGTGATTTCGGTGTTTTTTTGTTGAAAACATACCGCAAGTAGCGTTTTTTAAGTTTACCCTGAATATAAATGTTTATAAACTATACTTTAAGGAGTAATTTCATGGTAAACGTTAGAACCACTCAAACGGAATATTATCATATTTTTCCAAGTACACTAAAAATTTCATTAGTGCTTTTTAAGTGGAGGATTTGCGGTGTATTACTGCATTTTATTTGAGATGTTTTCGTTGGTAGTATGGAGGGTATTTATTTAGCAATGCAGAATAATAATTTTTATTTATGAAAACTTGTATTTAAACGGAATCCTTTTCTATTTTGCGATACCAAATAGCCGCATTTTGCGGTAGGAGGAGCGCATCGCGTGAGCGGCTAACAAACAAACTTACACATTTTAGTAAATTCGCAAGTTGTTGATATACTAATATCAATTAGCTGAGTCACGTACATTCCATCATCGGGGGACAAGGCGTAGACTAAGGACTCGCACGAAGCGTTACGCTTCCACGTTTAAATGCCGAACGGCTATGGAATCGAATTCCCTAACTGCTGATTTATTCTCTCAACGCCATAGCTTGGACCTTTTCAAGGTGAGAGTGAATAGGCATTATTCAGGTGTGCATGCTCCATCGTCGACCTCATCATCACTTTCCATCGGGTCAGAAGGCGCAAAAGCGCATTAAATTTTTTATTACAAAAAAAAATCACACTTTTTATATCTAACATCTTTATGTCAAGCGTGTAGGAAATGTGGTATACTACAAAGAATATATCCATAAGTTCATAGTGAACATGCTTCTTCTAGGCCAGTGATTCGGAGATTTATATCAGACCCCTTACCATAACAAAAACTTAATCATGAACCTCTCAGTTAATTAACTTTTATGTTATAATAACAACTGCAACAAATACTTTATTCTTTCCTCTCTAAAGAAACAATTGCACGTAAGAGGATAAATAAACTAAGTAAACATTTTAAGTTCTTAGGTTTTCGCGATTGTTATACATAGGAATGAAACTATTTTTCCGGATTTAAATCGCGTATATTTGTTGACAGTCAACCGTGACCATGGGACCTGTAAAGGGCCCGAAACGTCGGTTTGTTTGAAAAAACAAATATACGCGATTTAAATCCGGAAAAATAGTTTCATTCCTATAAACATTATCATTTCTTATTAATGTTATGATATTTTGCTACTTATTTTTTTTTGTTAAATTACTCCACTAGTTTGTTATAATTATTAATAACAAAGATCGCAAAGATAAATCTCAAAGCGACATCTGTTATCAACCTCTGGTAGCTGTTAAAGTACTTGGTTCAGTGAAGAAAATTTTTTATAAATTTCTCACATGTGACGCTATGGCAAAAAAGCCGTTAAAAACCAAAAGCAACAGTTTGCAAAAAGGACATAATAATTTCGTGGTCTAACATGGTGGTCAGACATCATAACATTCAATAAACTTAAAAAATTACAATGATAAAAGTGATCTCTAGTTGCTGGTAACTGTGAAGGGACGTGGCTGAGAGAAGAAAGAGATTTCTCACTGCAAAAAAGTCGTTAAAAAACCAAAAACAAAGATCTGCAACAAGCACTTAGAAAAATTTGTCAGGTCCGCTAGCTCGTTCCGTGGCTTAGTGTCTGACACGGTTTGCTGGAAGACGTTGGTGTGAATCCAGCCGGATCGAACGAAGTTTTTGTGAAGTAATTTCACAAAAATAATCGCTTATCAAGGTGGTTAAACATCGTAACATTCGATAAACTTGGAAAAATTACAACAGTAAGTTTTTGTTATTTTCGCGCACCCCTAGATATTTTTTTCTATTTATCATGTACCATTTGGACTATCCCATAGGGATCCATCCCCCAAGAGACATACGGACCACTTTGGAAAACTTGATTCCAGGCGAAGGAATACTACTGTCCGCCACATCTTCACTATCAGGTAAGGTTGTGGACAAAAATAAAACGTTAATTGGACATAGTTATGCAAACTAGAACCAACCCACAAAATGGCACTTTCGAGATAATTAGACTTTTGTAAAAACAGTGTGAAGAAAAAAATAGGTAAGTTATTTGAGACAAACAACGTGATATAGAGAAACTATTATATTATACAGCAATAAATAAAAAACATTATGTATCTTTTTATTTAGTTAACGAGAACAATGTTCTAGTTTTGGTAATGAAAACGTTAAAGATCTAAAGTACTTCAGTACATGTGACATGGATCCATTTAGCATATATAAAAAAATACATTATATGAAATTAAGCAGCATGGTTTTTTTTTAGCTATTAAAAAGTTACTTATTTAGGGTTGGTACCCTGAAGGACTTTATTTTCTCCGTTTTGGCTTGGTGTATAGCCAGGATCTTTTGTGAGCGGGTAAAGGACACGTCTGGTGTTCTACCGAAATACATAACTCAATTTCACTCGAGTTGTGGGTTGGTTCTTGTTTGCATAACTATGTTCAATTAAGGAATGGTAACATAATCAACCGAAGTGCCCTTCACGTCTGATAGAACACATCCTACTTCCAAAAAATGTAAATGCTTATGGGATAGACTTACCTTCTTGGAAGCATCCTTATGCTCTTGTACGTATTCCTGCTTGAGCGGCTCGGTCTGCAGATCAGGTAGCGAGTGACTGATACGGATTGCCGCCTGGCGGGACAGCGACTCGCAGTTGCTTTCCTCAGAATCACGTCGGGTTCTGATAGAAAATTATCGATCACTGGACTTACTTCCGAAGGCAAATAAACAAATAAAGAATAATGTCAAAGTAAGCAGTTATATAACAGTCACGGACCTACCTACGGACCGTGAGGAGTAATGGAGGCTACACCGATAGGAGCTGGCTCTCAAATACGATGATGATTATGAGACTTAAATGCCTTTCCAATAATCTCTGGTTAGCAGACCACTTAATATTCCGATTTTTCTTCGACTGCGATACTTGTCCACCATCCGTTCTTACTCCATCAACCGTCTTTGACATATTGCAAAAATAAAGATCAACAATAGCGGGCAAAGTGAATAAGGTTTATTCTAGGCTAAGGTTTATTCTGTGTACCAAGTTCCGCATCATTACTTTCCATCAAATATATACTAACATAACCCATTTCTGATAGAAATAAAACAAGTAAGTACAAAAAATCTTTTTGATTTTTTCAGACTGTAATTACTCCCTTTATTCGTACGCGTGCCAAAGCTGCAACACCAGAAGATCAACTATTCCATTTACGAGATCTCATTTCATTATAATTGTGAGCCTGTTCTGTTCGACAGCTGGGCAAACTCGCCCCCCTCGTTTTTCCATTGATCCCGGTTTTGGGCAACATCAGCTCTGTCCTAATAAAGGATTTAAAATCATCCCATCCAGCCCATGCCTGTGACCAGCCCTTCAACTTGGCCACCTTCCAAATACATCGGCAATCATTGAATTAACTTATTTATTAATTTGTAGACGGAATACCTCACGATATTCAAATTACTTGGGACACTGAACATTTAGAAGAACTGACCTAGATAACAATTCACATGCTTAACCTAATATTGTAACTATTTCAATGATTTTAAGTGTAATTTGCTGAAATAACAAAAATTCTATATGAAGCTTTCATGATTCTGAGTATCTGCTCATAAGTACGATTTATGCATATAAATGCTTGTGACAATAGTGGCTATGTTAACATTGTCGTGATGACAAGTGTGTTTTGACATCATATTTACTGAATGCCACTAGGACCGCCGGCGGTACCACAGACCACATAAAGGCGGCAGTTTTGAGTCACTTCAGGCCAGTTTGCCAACAATAGTTTGTTATGATTAGCAAACTAACTAATAAGGACAGTAACAACAACCACTTTCATATCTTTAAAACCAAATATGTAAGGATGAAAACCGTTCAAGCTAATGGTAAGACCAGGTTTTATTCATGAATACTTATGAAGTACTTTCTAGCAGAAATAGTACACAATACAATCTATAGACGCGACCTTGAAATTTACGAACCTCTTGACTTTTTATTCACTTATAAATTCCTAACCATCAAATAACAATTGGTAGCATTTGTTAGCAAGACCACGAACAAAAGTCTCAGATATTAAATTTGCCGTAGGCTCTTGCTGGGCCCTCTATTAAAACGAAGGGTAAATTCATACTGGCTACTGAAGCCTCATCTAAAACAACTAAGGCTAAGTAAACTCGTTCTACTGACCTGCCCATGATCCAGCGCCATGTTGCCGCGCACTGGTAGCCCACAGCAGCCAGAAGCACGGCAGCCATAGCTGCCAAGAGCAGCACTGCCGCGTAGTCTACTGAGCTGCCGGGCAAGCTCGACTGGCCCGCCAGCCCTTCAGGTGGCCACACACCTGAAACAAATGTTATTTCTGAGTACGAACTTCAATTTCAACACTGCAAAAATTGTTTAAATATTCGCGTAGAAAAATAAACATGAACCAAAATCATAAACTTATCTAAACTGAAGAGTGAAGAAAGGAAAACACTAAAGCTCGCAAATAAACAACTTCAATAACATAAAACAACAATAATGTCGAATTTTTTATACAACAAAGTAACATGTGAAGTAGTCCTTGATTGATTTAAATCTACTTGTTCCTTTTAGCGTAGTTTCTCGTAAGAAATGGCGCAACTGTGAACAATGCCTATTCTATGAAATTTCTAGACATTTTTGGGTAAGTAATTGCGTCTCAAACTTGGCATTCTGCCCACTGAAGGCTCGATTCAGAAATATTGAATTATTAATTGACAGTTGTACTTGTAAATGAAGTTAAGCGGTCTACGGTATAAATAATCTACATTAATTCTACGAGAAATTATTCGATGTACCTATAGTGTCAGATTCATGTTTCTTCGACCTTAATGTAATCAAGCCTCAAGGATAATATAAAGATATTGAAGCTTAATTGTGACCTTAAGGAAGAATTTGTGATCGTTCGTTAGACCAGCTAAGGATTCAACGCAAGTCCTTGTCTTTAAATGTAATTATTCCAAAAACTGAGACTGAAATTCTTAACTAATCAAAGATAATCACACATATTTTGGTCCTGCCCAAATGAGGTCTGGAAACACCAAAAAATTCACCAAACAAAACTTACCCTTTTAGTACAAAGCATGTATAAATATAACATTTCATATTCCTAAAAAGCCCAGGTTGGTTTTTTTTTAAATAACGTACACACTCAACATAGCCCCGCACTAGGGAAACCCTGTGTCGCGGGTGCCATGGACATACACATAGGTTCCGGAATTGTACAAACGTCGTCCCTCAAAAAGCACAAAAATCCTAATGGCTTGTGTCTTTAGTATCTCCCTAAATGAGTGCTAGCGGTTCTCATGGACCGATATCAAAAAGTTCTAAATCAATTTAAAGTTAGACATTATGTTCATTCGACTTCAGTGTTTGCTACCCTATAGGGATACATAATTTTAATAGATTTATGGAATTCCATTGGAACGAATGATAATTGTAGCGAAATGGGATAGTCTAAGTGATTTATCGTAGAAGTTTTAAACTTTTTATTTTTTAGTTCCACCCATAGTTAATTTTGGCCTTATTCTTCGTCATATAGACGGATCGATGTTACGCCAGTCGAGGAGCATTGAAAATTTTAGTATGACCAAAGTGTTACAAGAACTATAGTTTCATCATCATCAACATCGTCATATCAGCCGGAAGATATCCACTGGTGAACATAGGTCTCCCCCAAAGATTGGATCCGAGATCCATCGGTAACCCGCCGCCCTTACCAGGTCATCCGTCCATCTAGAACGCCTTCCGGTTCGTGGTCTCCATCAGTTCTACGAGCTATGTGCCCTGCCCACTGCCACTTCAACTTGCTAATCCTTTGGCCGAAGTCGGTGACTTTCCTTCTTCTACGGATCTCCTCATTTGTGACTAGATCGCGTAGTTTAAATTGCCTGAACTAACCTATGTTAGTGCTTACGTATTGAAATTTTTATACCAGTATCTAGGTATCGCGATCATGGGAGTATAATTACGTAATAAAAATGCTAACCAATTCTGAATTTAAGACACTCTTGTTCAAACCAGGCACAAGGCAAAAAGCACTGCGAGATTATTTGTGCTAGTCGCGCCGCTACATTTGTGTCATATTACACTACCTGTCTGTGTGACGTTTGGTCTAACGACCCATGCACACGACGTATTTTATACGCACCGTAAACGTGCTGTAGTGAATTGAAGCAAGAAGCTTATATACTCCACTGGAGTATATAAGCTCATCATTTCAAAAAAGTAACTGAAATTAACAAACAAAACTGAAATTAAAACTATATATTATCAAAATGCGCGATACACACGCGCGTTCTTGGCGCGTATAAAATACTCCGTGTGCATACATTTTACCTACCGGCTTTCAAGCAGAGGCCGTAAGTTCTGAGTTTCTAGGTATTTAGAAAAACTAGAAAAACATCGTGATGAGACCTTCACGTCGAAGAAGGTTCACAACCCTAAGAAAAAGTGTACCTACATTGGGCCAGTGTGGCCTAAACCCTGCTTGAGAGAGATTAATAATTTGATCAAAAATAATTATTGCAACTCATTTGTTCCTCTCACTATATATGTATTCGATTAAAAAAAGATTTACCGTCAAATTCTGTCGACTACAGCTGCTGCTCCATATTTACGATTATATTGTTAGTTTATTATCTTATCTGTCATTAAAATTTAGAAATATACGACAATTTTTCAATATACCAAAAATGTTTTAATTAAACTTTACACCATTTCCAATTAGACCGTCTGTTTTCTCAGTTTTAGTATACCTAATAAACTAAATATCACACCTGTTACACTGCAACATAAAACCGATAAAAGAAAAACCACCTGTGGTAAACCTATACAATTTATTAAAATGTCAATCTCAAGTCCCGTTTACCCCGTACATTTTGAAAGGGTAGTACGAGACTTTGCGTAATAAAAACATAAAAGAAGACAACGTAACTTGATACGTAAAGTCCCGAGAAATAGCCACATTTTGAATAGAACCAACGGGACTTAATTCAACAAAGACTAGACAATTGTCCGTGCAATAAGACAATATTAGACAGAAGGAACACAGCTGCAGCGAACGATGAGTAGAATAAAAACAAATTATATTGAAACATGTGAGCATAATAATAATACAACCGGGTAACTCTGTTACACTGATGTTGTATCGTAAGCGAACGAATAAAAGATATCTTCTATAAATGTAATCAATAGTCCTTAAAGAAAGTCCTATATTATAAGCTTATATTGTATACATGTTTCCCATCGCATTAGGTAGAGACCGTGAACCTCCACCTGCTACACCCCTAACAAACCTATTTCTCTTCCTCTACTCTTATTAGTCTCTTCATTTCTTCCTTCATCTTGACGCTTTTAAGCCGGCCGGTACTAAGGACATTTTTTTATTAAACGGGTCCCTGGTGGTAAGCGACACGCCTGTCGATAGCAGTTGTAGTACCACTCAGAGCTTCAAGTCGCAAAGATTCAATCCCCTTTCTTCTGAATCTTTCGCTTTTTGTTATCGGGCGCAGGCCCGACACCCTGAAACATAAGTTGACAAGTCCCATGTGCCTGTAATTTCATCATATTTGATTCCACACTGTTCAAGATTGTCAATTCTGAAATGGTTTCAAGTGAGCTCTTAAGTCACGACTCGTTTAAATTCGCAGTAAACGTACCCAAAAACCTTTTTCTCGGCCATATACCACAAACAATGTCTCATACAATGATCTCGTTTTCCGCATGTGTAGAGCTCATAATTACTTTTGTAAAGACACCTTATTCAATATTTACTAGGAAAAGCTGAATATGTTGGATATTTAAACATGTTGGCGTTGATACGTACGTGTAATAAGAATTTTCTAATAAGTGTTTTCAGAAGCACAAGTTAATTCCCAGATGAGAACGAAGTATTACTTACGTTTATAAATAAAATAGTGCCTTCATGAAACAAAATATCCTACCTACAATATTTAAAGTAAGCCTCCGTGTCGCATAGATGAAGACACTCCGTACAATTCAGCTCCCTGGCTCAATGTGGGTTAGAGACCTCACCCGTTTTCAGTGGATTTGCAACGCATGTTACAAATTAGTGTTTGTTACAACCGCCCTTTCGATATATCAGAAGCATTGGCAAACTACATATGATATAGGTTACACTGATAAAACAATGAAGTAGCAGTTTCTATAGTAGTAAAGCTCCTTGTGAAAGAGTTCGTCCAGGGTAGTACTGTCACTTTACCTATTTCTGCCGCCAAGCAGTACTCAAGAACTTTCAGACAGACTATTCAATTTATGTCGCTTATCACCAGGCGCATGACTTTTTCGTCCTGTCATTAAGTATCATAAAAAAAAAGTTGTTCGACTTCATCTGTACAAAATTTTATCAACAAATTAATAGACTGTAGGAAACCCAAGGGGCGGCAGTTACTTTGGCTGACGCATTAGCATAGCCATATCAAGGGATAACGATGCCAGCATCCTGGGCCCTTACCGCGAGGACGTAATTTTATTCATATACTTTTATTCTAGTTATAGTTCCTAGTATTTAAGCTTTTATTGTACCTTATTTGCATATTTTAACTTATTGTCTAGTAAATGAATAATAATTATTGTTAATAATGGTTGTAAATTAAATTATATTCGAAGATATTTCTTTCTATGTCCTAGATAGTTCAGTGCTTGTAAAATCCAAATCATTTAAACCCCAGAGCCATTCACGCAGAAGGAAGTGTTCAATCCGTTAAACCTTGTTTGAAACTTATTAAAAGGCTGACCTCACGGCTGAACATGGATACTTAAAAGACACGTAAACAGAATGTTCTAGATGGAATTGTCAGTTAAATAATTTATGGGTTCAGCAACGACGGGTAAACCAATTGACAATTGAGTTGCTCAGTTATTCAGTGAACGAAAATTCATTTGTTTCTAATTAATATTGTTTTGTACACTACCAACCATTGTCCCAATGTGCGTACGCGTGTATTAATTTTTTCAAACAAACCAACGTTTCGGACGCATTACACGACTTTAAAAAAAACAAACGATAAGAATAAATATTTTCCAACATTGCGTCATATTTAGCATTTTAAGGCATAATACAATAACGCACACACTTATATATCCGCACTGAGGAAACCCTGTATCGCGGGTGCCATGGACACACATATAGACAACCACAAATTACCTGGGACCTCTGCGTCTCAGACCGGTATCGTAACCGTTCGGCAACGGAGGCAGTTAAAGTTCCACGCAATCGGAGTAAAAGATCATTACATGAATTAGTGAATAAAATGGTGGTTATGTTTCTAAGATTATACATGTGATTTTGGCAAAAAT